CGGAGGAAAACGCGGCGGCCGTGCGATCGCGGTGGTGCTCGACGACCCCCGCCGCGGCGGCGGCGAGGCCGTCAAGGACGCGCGCGGGATCCAAATCGGGCGACCCCGCCGGCGCGCACTCCTCGAGCTCGGGGTGGAGGGCCTTGTGCGCACTCAACGCGCGCGCGTAGAGGAAGTCGAAGACGAGAAACGTGAGGAGCTCAAGGAGCCCTAGGAAGGTCGGGAAGTTACGTGACATCCTCGTCAGACACACCGCCGGGACAGAATAATAAACGCGATAGATATATAAAACAGGAAACCCAAAGAAAGGAAAGGAAAAGAGAGAAAAGCAAAGGGGAGAGAGTCTATTGTGGTGCTAAAGGGAATTGCTACGAGAGGTCGGGAAAGAAGGAATTGGTGGGGATGTCAAACCAACCGCATAGGTGCATTCAAAAGAGAGAGGGAGGAAGGGAGCTCCAACCAACACCCGATGGTGCGTTGACAGGACGGAAAAATAATCCCATCGGTGAAAAGAATCGCTTCCCATACGGGAATGCTTCATAAAATGCATGCGTTTTTATCCTGTTTCGCATATACCGTTATTTTTCTTTTATCATGTTTTTGAAAGCCGTAACACACCGCCTGGGAGTACAAACGCAGCAGCCCAATGGGGGTTTCGTTTTTTTTCCCGTTTGATGGGGGTGGCGGCTGCCGACGATGCGTGAAGAGTTGAATATTTCTATCGCTGTCATCTACCTCAGAATTCAAAAAGAAACCTCCGCTAACCGCTTAAGAGGGTGGCGGCGGGGAGCTCCGCTTTCTGCTCCTCCGAACGCTTCTACCCCCTTTCGCGTGGCGTCGTCCACGCCTAGGAAAGATGGAATCAATCACCCCTCATCGAGCGAGAAAGTAACCTCGCTGGAATGGGTTTCATTCCCCCCTCCTTCGGGATCATCATCGTTTTGATACCTTCCACGTTTTCCTTCACGTGAAATTGGATAGGAGGGCTCAGGAAGCTCTCTGCTACCCTGGCTAGCGGCGTTCTATACTAATGAATACGCCTACATCCCTAGTCCCTTTTGGTTTTAAAAAAAGGAATCACAATAAACCAACAAAAAAAGAACGTTACGATTTGGGAAGAAGTCCACAGAGTACGCAACACGATGTAGCAATACCTCTTTTCCGGTGTGTGCAATAAATACAAGGGTCGTAGACAAGGCCAAGGGTCTCTTGCATGAAATAGTTGAGAAGCAGTGGAAAAACATCTATCGAGAAAGATGGGCGACTTACAGCTGATCGACCATTTCCCATATTCCAGTCCTGCTCACCGGAGCACACGCTCCACCACCCACTCATCGTCTTTGAAACATAAAACCACAATAAACGGTGCTACTAATTGAGGAACGTTGCTTTTTAACGATACCTTACACTGCTGCAACACCAGGCGTTCCTCGGTTTTAGAATAAAAGGCATCTCCCGCGTTGCAGGAGCAAAGCACCCAATCGGTGGTTTCTCGCACAGCCGTTTCCTCCATGCATTCCATCGGCTCCACAAAGTCCAAGGTGATCTTAAACACACAGTCTTTAAACGTGATGTTATCCATATTAGCCGCCCGGATAATGCGGGGTTCACTCAATAAACTGTTAGGTTCTGACGGGATCCGCGTTAACTCTTCCTTTTCACGATAGATCACCATGCTAAGGTGACCGCTCTTGATGAAATCTAAATCTGGAGACGTCTCCAAGGACGTCTTTTTGCGACCCATTTGGTAAACTTTGTGATACGATCAAAATTAAATGACAATAATAATGAAAGGGATGAAATACTCTAAGCCTTTTGTTCTTTTATGAATTCCTTCTCAAATATTCTCTAAGGAGCAGAGCAGGGGGACGAGATTCTTATGCATAGGTGGGGCGTCTAAACTACGACACCTATAGGCTTTCTAATGTCTAGCAGTAGCGCATGACCCTTAAGTGGTTTCGTTTAAAAACATATATGTGTATTGTGCACAAATGCATATGCATGTATTTCTTTTGCATTTGCGAATTTTATGGCACCACATTCTTGTGTTGCTAGACCGCTCTAGAACTCTAGAGAGCTATTTATCGAACACACAACGCACCTTTGATTGACCACGGAGAAGAAAGTTCGAGTTCGACGAAATCTCACAAATTAACGGCAAGCAAGTCGTATAAGAAAGAATTTTACCACCCTACACACACACACGCACGCTAAAGAAAATAAATGACAAACGGCTTAGATGATATCCAGGCGCACCTTCTGTTTGGGTGGTGGAAAAGCCTCGTCGAGCTGCCGGATATCCTCATCCGTCAGCTCGATTTTATCGGCCCCGGCGTTCTCCATCGTGTGCGCGACACTCCCCGACTTCGGGATCGCAATGACGTTTCCGCTTCGAATCACAAACGCGAGGAGAAGCTGCGGGATTGTTGCGTGATGCCGCGCCGCGATCGTGCGGACGACGTTGTTGGCGAAAATCTCGCCGTGCATCTTTCCCGCCTGCGCGAGGGGGCAGTACGCCATCACCGGCACCCCCCTCGCCGCCATCCACGGCATCAAATCGAACTCGATCCCGCGGGATCCGAGGTGGTAGAGCACCTGATTCGTCGCGCAGTTCCGCCCGTTGGGCAGCCGCCAGAGCTCCTCCATATCCGCCACGTCGAAGTTGGAGACCCCCCACCGCCGGATCTGCCCGCGCGCGACGAGCGCCTCCATCCCCTCCACCACCTCCCCCAACCCCCCCCCCCCCTCGCCAGTGGAGGAGGTAGAGATCCAGCCACTCCAGCCGAAGCCGCCGCAGCGTCTGCGCGCAGCTCCGCGCGATGCCCTGCCGCGTCGCGTGCGCGGGCGCCACCTTCGAAACGACGAAACACCGCGCCCGCGGGAGCCCCGCGAGGGCGTCGCCGACGCGTTTTTCGGAGCGCCCATCGCCGTAGAGCTCGGCGGTGTCGATCACCGCCATCCCGGCGGCGAGGCCGGCCTGCAGGGCGGCG